TTCTACTCCAGCAGCAATGTATGAAGATGTAGTCTGATAAGATCTTATCCATAATTTCCCCTGTAAGATGGAGGATGGGAGAATATAAAGCTATTCAACTTTACTTGCCCAAATACAGTTTAGAAAGCAATCAGCCTTTCATGTGAAGAGCCCCATGGAATAAAGGGGAAGAGTTACAATAGAACTCAATGCATGTCTCACACTATTTAAGTGTTCTCCACAGAGTTCTTAGTACAGCTGAATATAAACCAATTCCATAGGTGTTTTTTTTAGGTGAATGGATACTGTCTAGGCTCTCATAGTGAGGTGGGAAGAAAAAAATGGAAAGAATGAAATAAATCCCAGCTAGCTTTCATTACAGCTACTCCTCAGTTAACTGACCCTACACTCCAGGCTCAGGAATGAAAGGATTTCCTATCTACCAAAGGTATATTTACACAAAAGGCACTGCTAAAATCCATTCTAAAGTTGGAATGCCTAGAAAGAGACTGAAAATCACAAAGTCTACTCTTGGCTCACAATGCTTTCTCTAGGTTGTTGTATAAAAATAACATGGCATTTTCCTTAGTTACCTGACATTTATTTTAACTCATATGCAATGCAATAAAAGAGGCTATCTAGCTAGATCTGTGCTCAAACAACAGTATCTTGGTAATTGGAAGCCGATGAGAACCAATTTTTATAATTTAGCTACTATATACCAAGGAAATACACCAAAGAACACATTTTTAAAAATTTATTGTATTTGTCATCAACTCAATGGGTATGTTAGCCCATGTGTATGTGTGTGTAGTCTGAATATATATGTGTGTGTAGTCTGCATATAAATGTGTGTATGTGTGTGTAGTCTGAATAAATCCAAGGGCCTCAAGTGGTCCAAACTCAGTGAGGTGTTAAATTCATGGAAGCACAGTTAATGCAGGAAAAAAGTAATTAAAATACTCCAATTCTTTACTCCATCTTTCATAGATAAATGCATGTTTAATGCATAGCTAGTATCTTGAGAATTCTTTTCTCACCACCGTAATTTTCTTTATATAGCAGCTGTTCCCTAATTCATTTCTCCCAATCTCAATTCCCCATTGTCCAAAATTCAGCTTTTTTCCCTCTCTCTCCCCCTCCTCATTTCTCAGCTGTTTATAATATAAAATCACTTAGTGCCTCTAACATCTCAAATATTTCCTCTGCTTAAAATATTATCTGATTATGCATAACTAAGGTGCATCCAAGTGCTGCCGTGGTAAGCACCTATAATCTGGGGGAAGAAGGGGAATATTGTAACAATTCAAGTATTCATTGTTTTAATTCTAATGATACTTTAATACTTTTCTGTGACATATTCATATACAATTTAAGAGGAAACAGCTTCACAAGTGGTAGATAATATGTTCTATGTCAATATTAAAGGTTTCTGGTCTAATTGCCACACATATATTCTCCAAGGGAAGAGGAACATATAAACAATGACTTAAAAACAGAACATTTTATTTTGTATTTGAAGACAACACAAAAGAAGATACTGCTTTCAGGCTCTATCTAATATATTTAATAGTTAGTGCCTTAAGTAGCTATGGCTATTTCTATTTTTTCAAAAGGAAACTTAACCTGGCAAGATACAAATGGTTGAGGTATTCACATGTCTAGACATGAAACTAGAAAACCTGATTATCAATAGAATTGTCATAGATTCAAAAATTTCTAAAGAGCCCTAAAAATTCCTCTAGTAACATAACTATAGCTACTGATACTTTTTGATTATAAGTTTACATTACTTTATTTCTAAAGCCATTATCTGTATTGTACAGAATACAGAAATGTATATTCGTTAACAAAATTAATGTGCAAAAATCACAAGCATTCGTATACACCAGTAACAGACAAACAGAGAGCCAAATCAGGAATGAACTTCCATTCACAATTGCTTCAAAGAGAATAAAATACCTAGGAATCCAACTTACAAGGGATGTAAAGGACCTCTTCAAGGAGAACTACAAACCACTGCTCAGTGAAATAAAAGAGGACATAAACAAATGGAAGAACATACCATGCTCATGGATAGGAAGAATCAATATCGTGAAAATGGCCACACTGCCCAAGGTTATTTATAGATTCAATGCCATCCCCATCAAGCTACCAATGAGTTTCTTCACAGAATTGGAAAAAACTGCTTTAAAGTTCATATGGAACCAAAAAAGAGCCTGCATCTCCAGGACAATCCTAAGTCAAAAGAACAAAGCTGGAGGCATCACGCTACCTGACTTCAAACTATACTACAAGGCTACAATAACCAAAACAGCATGGTACTGGTACCAAAACAGAGATATAGACCAATGGAACAGAACAGAGTCCTCAGAAATAATACTACACATCTACACCATCTGATCTTTGACAAACCTGACAAAAACAAGAAATGGGGAAAGGATTCCCTATTTAATAAATGGTGCTGGGAAAATTGGCTAGCCATAAGTTGAAAGCTGAAACTGGATCCTTTCCTTACTCCTTATATGAAAATTAATTCAACATGGATTAGAGACTTAAATGTTAGACCTAATACCATAAAAACCCTAGAGGAAAACCTAGGTAATACCATTCAGGATATAGGCATGGGCAAAGACTTCATGTCTAAAACACCAAAAGCAATGGCAGCAAAAGCCAAAATTGACAAATGGGATCTCATTAAACTAAAGAGCTTCTGCACAGCAAAAGAAACTATCAGCAGAGTGAACAGGCAACCTACAGAATGGGAGAACATTTTTGCAATCTACTCATCTGACAAAAGGCTAATATCCAGAACCTACAAAGAACTCAAACAAATTTACAAGAAAAAAACAAACAACCCCATCAAAAAGTGGGCAAAGGATATGAACAGACATTTCTCAAAAGAAGACATTCATACAGCCAACAGACACATGAAAAAATGCTCAGCATCACTGGCCATCAGAGAAATGCAAATCAAAACCACAATGAGATACCATCTCACACCAGTTAGAATGGCGATCATTAAAAAGTCAGGAAACAACAGGTGCTGGAGAGGATGTGGAGAAATAGGAACACTTTTACACTGTTGGTGGGATTGTAAACTAGTTCAACCATTATGGAAAACAGTATGGCGATTCCTCAAGGATCTAGAACTAGATGTACCATATGACCCAGCCATCCCATTACTGGGTATATACCCAAAGGATTATAAATCATGCTGCTATAAAGACACATGCACACATATGTTTATTGCAGCACTATTCACAATAGCAAAGACTTGGAATCAACCCAAATGTCCATCAGTGACAGACTGGATTAAGAAAATGTGGCACATATACACCATGGAATACTATGCAGCCATAAAAAAGGATGACTTTGTGTCCTTTGTAGGGACATGGATGCAGCTGGAAACCATCATTCTTAGCAAACTATCACAAGAACAGAAAACCAAACACCGCATGTTCTCACTCATAGGTGGGAACTGAACAATGAGATCACTTGGACTCGGGAAGGGGAACATCACACACCGGGGCCTATCATGGGGAGGGGGGAGGGGGAAGGGATTGCATTGGGAGTTATACCTGATGTAAATGACGAGTTGATGGGTGCTGACGAGTTGATGGGTGCAGCACAGCAACATGGCACAAGTATACATATGTAACAAACCTGCACGTTATGCACATGTACCCTAGAACTTAAAGTATAATAATAATAAAAAATAAATTTAAAAAAATGGTGCAATCCTCTGGGTAAAATAATTTCACAATGTATTACTGGTATATTATTGGTACCTAAGGCTTTAGCCTTCTCCTTTAAAAATAGTGAGGTACTAACATAATTATGTTTTGGAAGGAGAAAAGAGTAAGAGATTGCCAGCACTAATGATTTGTCAACAGAGTTCATCTTTTGCAATTTAATGTTAGCTGTAGACTGAGATCTCAGACACTATTTCATTTATCTCTTAATTACTTGACCTATTTGGCTGCTTCAAATGTTCACAGTGACCGTTCCTTAATGTTCATTTCTATTATAGGAGGCATCTGTTTAGATGCATATGCTGAATTAATTTTTTTATACATTCCAAATTTATATTGATGTCATAAAAGACTCGGTATTATTGAAATTCATTTTTCGACAGTCCAAAATGTATAATCAATGACAAAATGTTTCTCTAGGGAGCAATAAAACTAAACATAGCTAAAGTATACTGGGAAGCTCACTGAGTTTTTGAATAAGGGTCAATAAATTATGTATATTCTCTGCATCCAACTGCTGGCCTCAGTAGCTGCTTAACGACCAAGTAAAATAAATAATTACTTAGTCCTACTCAGATATAATAATATCTGCTAGAAGCACCCAAATTATTGGTTGTGAAGAAAAATGTTTTAAATAGTTTTTAAAGGCTTTCTTTTGGCTTTTAATTCAAACTAATATATCATCAAGTATGTACAGAATATCTTCTCTGTGCAGTATGCCTCAGTATATAGAAAAGATAGGAGTGCTCCTATCCTCAAAGCTCTTATATTCAAATGGGTATGGAGAGTAAGGAGTTGATGCATATAGTGCAAAACATCACTATTACATAAGCACTCTAGAGTAATTTCTTTCACTCTTAATATCTAACCCATCAAAAGTCAAACGTCCTTTTGATTTTCTCCTAAATCTCTCAAATCTGTCAACTGCTCTCTATCAGTTACCATACCGGTCCAAGCTGTATCATCTCCTATTTGGTCTCTAGAGTAGTCTCCTAATGATTCTTCCCACATTCACTCTTACTCCATGAAAATCAATTGTCCACAGCAGCCAAAGAAACTTTTCAAAACTGCATCTGATCCTGTCCCCAGCCCATCCTCCCCAAAACACACAGTTCCTATATGGTTTCCCATTGCTCTTAGGATAGAAATCAAGGTCCTTAACCCGACTGCACAGATATGGCCCTGCCTATGCTATCATCTCCCCGACCCCTGGCTTACATGCCCAGTTTGGCAGTGTACACAAGGGCCTTCTCACAGGGCTCTTACCTATTAATCTCCTTCTAATCATTGGATGGGGCCACCAGCCTGGGACAGTCTTACTCCTACTCTGTCTCTGCTTTACTTAACAAATGTGTATTTATCTCAATCTCAGTTCAAAGGTCATTTCCTAAGAAACCATGGCATGCTAGAATTAAATCAGGTTCCTTTGTGACTTCCTAAGAAACCATGGCATGCTAGAATTCAGTCAGGTTCCTTTGTCACAAACTCTCCTAGTAGTGATTTTATTCACTCACTTTGCAGTGTTTATTTATGCCTTCATGTATTTAAATACCCAATTATTGTCTATCTCCCTTGCCAAAGTGTATGCTCTATAAAGCAAGAACAGTGTTAGTTTTGGTTACCTATACATCATCACTAGAATACGCACTGAGCATGGAAGTTTCTCAGTTAGTACTTGTTGAATAAATGAACAAATAAGCTTAGGGAGGGAAACATCAGTTGTAAATGTGGGACTCAGTAAAAAACATAAAATTCTTGCTAGTCTATGTTAACTAAAAATTATCTTGGATATGAACTGTTAAAAAATAAACAAGCTAAGAGTGCAATTAACAAATATTCTCAAAATAGTCTTTTAGGGTGCTGTTTCTTCCTTTCCTGTCCCCAGTATCAAGAGGGGATAATATTCTTATGTAGCTCATATCAGAACTTTTTCCATATGGGATGATATTGGTTTATGAAAGGTAAAAAAATGAAGCTTTCAGACATAGACACTTCATAAAAGCCACTTTAAAACACTGAAACAATTAAATTTGATGCCTCAAAAGTAATGCTATTGTAGTTGTTGGTCCTACTTTTTGGCTACTATGAATAATGTTGCTATGAACATTCATGTACAAGTTTTCTGTTGACATACATTTTCATTTCTCTCTAGGAGTGGAATTACTGAGTCATAGGGTAACTTTCCTTGATAAAATGACTATCCAAATTTTTGCTCATTTGTTAATTGAGTCATATGTCTTTTTATTGTTGAATTGTATGAAGTCTTTATATATTCTGAATACCACTCCATTACCAGATATATGATTTGTAAGTACTTTCTTCCATTACATGAGTTACCTCTTTACCTTCTGTATAGTGTTCTCTAAGACACAATAGTTTTAATTTTGATGAAATCACATATATCTATCTTTTCTTTGGTCACTTGTGCTTTTGGTGTGATATCTAAGAAACCATTGCTTAATCTAAGGTCATAAAGATTTACACCTATGTTTCCATTTAAGTGTTTTAGAGATTTAGCTCTTTCATATAAGGTTTATGATACATTTTTAGTTTGTATTTGTATATGGCTGGAGGAAGGGATCCAACTTCATTCTCTGGCATGTGGATACACAGTTGTCCCAGAACCATTTGTTGAGAAGGTTATTCATTCCCCCATTGAATTATCTTGGCATTCTTGTCAAAAATCAAGTGACCACATGTGTATGCATTTATTTCTGTTTAACTGGTCTATATGTCTGTCCTTATGCCATTGCCACAGTGTTCACATAATTTCTGAAATTGGAATTTATAAGCTCTGCTACTTTATTTTTACTTTTCAAGATGGTTTTGGTTATTCAGGGTCCCCTGAGATTCCACGTGTATCTTAGGATCAGTTTTTCCATTTCTGCATATTGAGATTTTGATATTTTGAGATTTTGATAGTGATTGTATTGAATCTGTAGATCCCTTGGGAGTTGGAGGGTATTGCCCTCTTAACAATATTAAGTCTTCTAATCCATGCTCACAGGCTGTCTTTCTAGTTATTTAGGCCTTCTTTACTTTTTCTCAGCAATGTTTTGTTTTGTACATTTTGGTTAAATTAACTCTTAAGTATTTTTATCTGATGCTATTATAAATAAAATTGTTTTAATTTGCTTTTTCAATTGTTCATTGATTATATATATAAATACAATGATTTTTTGTATATTGATCTTATACCCTGTAGGCTTGCTGAATTCACTTGTTATTTCTAATCATGTGTGTGTGTGTGTGTGTGTGTGTGTGTGTGTGTGTGTGTATTCCTCGGGATTTTTAAGATTCAAGTTCATGTCATCTGTTAATAGAGATAGATTTACTTTTTTCTTTCCAACCTAGATGCCATTTATCTTTTTATGTAACTGAAATGCTCTTGCTGGACTCTCCAGTATAATGTAAAATAGAAGTGGTAGGAGCATACATATTTGTCTTGTTACTGATTTAAGGGGAAAGCACTAGTTTTTCACCAGTAAGTATGATGTTATTTTTGTTTTATTTTTTTTCATAGATGGGCTTTATTAAGTTGAGGGTATTCTCTTCTATTTCTACTTTGTTTAGAGTTGGGGCATTAGATGGTATTAGATTTTGTGCAATGCTTTTTCTACATCCATTGAAAATTTTATCTTGTGTTTTGTTTTTTATTAATATAGGGCATTCCATGGATTTGATTAATTTTCCTGTGTTAAACCAACCTTGTATTCTTGGGATAAATCCCACTTGATCATGATGTGTAATGGTTTTTATATGTTGTGGGATTAAATTTGCTAGTATTTTCTGAGATGTTTTGTTCATATGCATAAGGGATATTTATCTGTAATTTTCTTTATTTTTTGATGTATTTATTGGGTTATTATATCAGAGTAATAGCCTCAGAAAATAACTTGGACAGTTTTGGCTACTCTTCTATTTTTAAGAAGAATTTTTGAATGACTGGTGTTAATTCTTCTTTAAAAGCTTGGTGGAATTTATCTGTGGAAACATCTGGGCCTGCAATTTTCTTTGTGAGGAGTTTTGTGATTTTTAATTCAACCTATTTACTCATTAAAAGTATATTTATGGCCGGGCGCGGTGGCTCAAGCCTGTCATCCCAGCACTTTGGGAGGCCGAGACGGGTGGATCACGAGGTCAGGAGATCGAGACTATCCTGGCTAACACGGTGAAACCCCGTCTCTACTAAAAAATACAAAAAACTAGCCGGGCGAGGTGGCGGGCGCCTGTAGTCCCAGCTACTCGGGAGGCTGAGGCAGGAGAATGGCGTGAACCCGGGAGGCGGAGCTTGCAGTGAGCTGAGATCCGGCCACTGCACTCCAGCCTGGGCGACAGAGCGAGACTCCGTCTCAAAAAAAAAAAAAAAAAAAAAAAAAGTATATTTATATTTTCTATGTTTTCTTGAGTGATTCTGGGAAGATATGTCTTTCTAGAAATGCATCCATTTTATTTGATTGTGTAATTCATTAACACACTATTGTTCATTCCCTTATAATCTTTTTATATCTTTGAGTTTGGTAATGACACTCCCTTTTTAATTCTTGATTTTATTAATTTGAGTCTGCTTTCTTTCTTAGTCAGTTTACTTAAAAGTTAGCGAATTTGGTTAATCTTTTCAAAGAATCAGTTTGTTGGTGTACTTGATCTCTATTGTTTTTCTACTATCAATTTTACTTATTTGCTCTCTAATGTTCATTAGATCCTTTCTTATGATTGCTTTGAGTTCAATTTGCTCCTTTTTCTAGTTTTATAAGGTAGAAGATTAGGTTATTGATTTGAGTTCTATTTTATTTTCAAATATGTTTATAGCTATAGATTTCTATTCACTGCTTTAGCTGAATCTCATGCATTTCAGTATGTTATGTTTTCAATTTAACTATTTTTTAAGGATTTTATAATTTCCTTTCTGATTTCTTTTTTGACTCACTAATTGTTTAGGTTTGTGTTGTATAATTTCCATCGCATAGTTGTAGATTTTCCAAATTTTCCTCTATTAATCATTTATAATTTTATTCTATTGTATTCAAGAAAATACATTGAATGACTTCAGTTTTTAAATGTTTACTGAGACTTGTTTCATGGCCTAACTTCACAAAGAATGTTCCATGTGCCCTGCAAAGAATGTGGATTCTAGTCCTATTTTCTGATGTGTTTATAGATGTCTGTTAGGTTTATTTGATTGATAATGATACTTATTCTGTATCATTGCTGCTCTACTAAGTTATGTCCATTTTTGAAAATGAATATTTGAGTCTCCAACTAATATTGTGGAATTCTTAATCTGTTTTTGTTTATCTGAAATATCTTAATTTATCCTCTATTTTGGAAAGATAATGCTGAATTTTTTAATTTAAATTTTGAATTCTTGATAGAATTTTTCTTTCAGAACACTAAACATTTCATCTCATTACCTCTTGGGCTTCATGATTTTCGATAAGACTCCTCTGTTGATGTTATTGAGAACTCACATTGCTTGTATGTGATGAGTTTCTTCACTCTTGCTGCTTTTAAGTTATTTGTCTGCAGCTTTAAACAGTTTGGGAATTTTTAGTTCCTTATTTCTTCAAATATTCTTTCTGTTCTTTTCTCCTTTCTCTCCTTTTGAATTTTCATTGTGAGTATGTTGATATGCTTGATGATTTTCCAAAGTTTTCTAAGTCTTTCTACAGGTTTTCATTATTTTCTTTTTCTGTTGCTCAAACTGAAAATTCTCAGTGTATCTGTATTGAAGTTAACTGGTTCTTTTTTCTGCTAGTTCAGATCTGCTGCTGAGCCTCCCTCTAAACTTTTTATTATGGTTATTGTATTTTTGATCTTGAGAATATATTTTTGACTCTTTTTCCTAAAATTCATATATTTTTAATGCTATCTTCATTTTGTCAAGACATTATTTTTACACTTTGCTTTAATTCTTTAGACATGGTTTCCTTTGGTTCTTTGGACATATTTATAACAGCTGGTTTAAAGCTGTTGTCTAGTAAGTCCAGTATCTGTGCTTTATCAGGAAGTTTCTGTTGACTGAATTTTACTCTGTTTGGGCCATGCTTTCCTATTTCTTTGCATAAATCATAATTTATTGTTGAAAATTGGATATTCAAAATAATATAATGTGCCAACTCTGGAAGTCATTCTTCCTCCTCTGCAGAGTTTGTTCTTGTTTGGTGTCGTCGTTAGTTCATTGAGTATCTTTCCTGGACTAGTTTGTTTAGTATTTTTCCTGGACAAATTATTTAAAGTCTTTATGCTTTGCTGTGTATGGCTGCTAACAACTCTCATCAGTCAGCCTAATTGTCGGCTAATGCCTGGACACAGATTTCCTTACATTCTTTGAATTACTAAGTTTCCCAGCCTTCCGTGAGGGCCTTTTTGTATAAACTGTGCACATGTTAAATGATATGGCAGGCAGTTTACAATTGACTTAGCCTTCACATGCTACTTACACACAGCCTAAGGTGTAGCCAGAGATGAGAAATTAGGGTTTTCTCACATCTTTTCTGAGCACATGCACAATCTTTCACATGCATGTGACTTCCAAGACTCCCATTTATATACTGGAGCGTTTGAAAACCTCCTACAAATATCATATTCCACAGTTTTTCCTTTTAAGTTGTTTTTAGCCTGTCTCTCCTTATCTCTATTTGGTGATGCCCCCTCAGGCAGCTGTGATACTAAACAATTGCTAGTGATTGTTTTTAGCAAATTTCCCTAAGGATGGGACAGACTGAACTCCAAGTCAGGTCAAATTTAAAAAGTCCTGACAATGGAGTTTTTTAGGAAGCTTCCTGATAGGTCAAATAATGACAGTTCTCTGAGGACAAGGTTTGAGAAAGCTCCAAACCAGTTCTGTCCCTCTACTATGAATGCTAAGATGTTCATTTTCACAGTTACTATAGTTGTGAAGCTGATAATGTCCAAGCATATCATGCAGATCTCAGAAAACAGATATGGAAAGAATTAGGGAATGTTAAAATGGCACAAAACTCACTGTGCTCTCTGGAATTCAGCTGTGTTTCCTGGATAAATACTCCTCAAATTGCTGTAAGTTTTAGGAGTTCTGAAAAAGTTGATTTTGACTTATTTATTTATTTATTTATTTATTTATTTATTTGCCAGTGTTCTCATAGCTTTATGGAGGAGTGGATTTTTGGTGGTTCTTACTCTGCCATTCTGAAAATGTGATCTTGCTTTCTTGTTGTTGTTTTCTAAATTTATTCTCATTTTGGTGAACAAAATGAAAAACATCTTTCCAATTTAAAACACTGAGAATAAAAATATTTCTTTAAAAATGCAGGTAATTGTAAAACTTTGTATTAAACAATAAGAGTATGCATTTTTAAGTATGTAAAATATTCTATTAGTGAGTTTATTTAGCTGCTGCTAGATAAGGGGAAGGGTGTGGGAATTTCTAAGAGGTGCAAACATTTCAGTCCATATTTCCCTTAGTTGAACTCCTCAATTATATAAATATTAGTATTTATTAAGGTATTGACAAGTATCTGAGGACTAGCAATAAAAGAGTTACTTGTTAATAAAGAAAATTAATCAGATATACTCTACCATTTCCCTTATAGTTCTTTGTTAATAAAGAAAATTAATCAGATACACTCTACCATTTCCCTTCATAAACAGAAAGAAAAGAAAACAAAATTACTTGATTCCAAGGAATTTGCAATTTCAGGATAGTTTCCTCGACAGACAGCAGTTCAGTAAAAATCTAAGAATTTTGACAGAATATTCAGGAGTGAAAGGCTGCATTCAAATTAAATATATTCATTTACAGTGAAGTTCTGAGACACTCTTACTGGCAAAATGGAAGGTTTCTCTCCTTCTATTTGCATAGATAAATATTGGATGAATTCTGATTGTTCATCCATGAAGGAATAAGATGTTTTTAAGATTTCTTAAAGTCATTCCTGTAGTCACCATTCACCATTAGCATAGATTCAATGTTATACATTGAAGACTTTGCAATGTTTACATAAGTATTTTATAATGAATATAAAATTATAAATATAAGTTTATGAAGGGTTTAACAAATGTTTAGTTGATGCTTTTATAATGAGTCAGTGTAAGGCAGTTAATAGATATTCAAGTGTTATATGTTACTTAAGTGATTAAAAATGGGAGATTCTAGGGATTTTATGGTTTTAGGTCTTACGTTTAAGTCCTTAATTCATCTTGAGTTAATTTTGTATTAGGTGTAAGGAAGGGGTCCAATTTCAGTTTTCTGCAAATGGCTAGCCAGTTTTCCCAACACCATTGATTAAATAGAGAATCCTTTCCCCATTGCTGGTTTTTGTCATGTTTGTCAAAGATCAGATGGTTGTAGATGTGTGGTGTTATTTCTGAGGCCTCTGTTCTGTTCCATTGGTCTATATATCTGTTTTGGTACCAGTACCATGCTGTTTTGGTTAATGTAGGCTTGTAGTATAGTTTGAAGTCAGGTAGCATGATGTCTCCAGCTTTGTTCTTTTGGATTAGGATTATCTTCACTATGCAGGCTTTTTGGTTCCATACTAAATTTAAAGTAGTTTTTTTCCTGTTCTGTGAAGAAAGTCATCGGTAGCTTGATAGGAATAGTATTGAATCTGTAAATTACTTTGGGCAGTATGGCCATTTTCACAATATTTATTCTTCCCATCCATGAGCATGTAATGTTTTTCCATTCGTTTGTATCCTTTCTTATTTCCTTGAGCAGTGGTTAGTAGTTCTCCTTGAAGAACTACAACACCTTGAAGAGGTCCTTCATATCCCTTGTAAGTTGTATTCCTAGGTATTTTATTCTCTTTGTAGCAATTGTGAATGGGAGTTCACTCATGATTTGGCTCTCTGTTTGTCTATTATTGGTATATAGGAATGCTTGTGATTTTTGCACATTGATTTTATATCCCGAGACTTTGCTGAAGTTGCTTGTCAGCGTAAGGAGATTTGGGGCTGAGATGATGGAGTTTTCTAAATACACAATCATGTCATCTGCAAACAGAGACAATTTGACTTCCTCTCTTCCTATTTGAATACTTTATTTCTTTCTCTTGCCTGATTGCCCTGGCCAGAACTTTCAATAATAAGTTGAA